CCTGCAGCTGAGACGTGACTGATAACTGAATCTTATCAAGTTCAAAAGACAGATTGTCTCTTTAAACTGATTTGATTTCAGCTTTTGACTGTGATATGATACTCACAAAGTTCCTGTCAGTAAAAGAATAAGTCCTTCTAAATACTGTCAGAAGTGATACAACACAAGCGCTCTGGAGCTGTGATCTATTCACACTGATATATGACGGAGCCGAACTGACCTTTATATGAGGAGGAAGCAGACTAGTGACGTCATCATAAAGGGTTAACACAAAGCACCACGTGGTCACGTGATTTACGTAGCCCCGAATAGGCGCTAACGACGTCATCATAAAGAGTAAAAGCACCACGTGGTCATGTGATTTACTAGCCCTGAATAGGCGCGGCGCTAACAGCTCAGCGCTGCTAGTCTTTTTTTTTTTTAACAATCTTTATTGACACAAATGCGGCATACAAAACAACATCGATGTACAGGGTGTGATGCATTAGATATACATTGGCAAACAGAGAAGAAAGAGAAAAAAATTTAATAAATAAAATTAAACATAATTATAAACAAATAAATAAAATTTAAAAAATTCCACTAATACCCTTTACCTTTTAATATGGGGCATAATAGAATTCATCATATTGGATATTTACACAGCTTTCTTGTTTTTGCTCAGCGCTGCTGATCAACATGAGCGGTTACTGGCCGGACTGGACGCATTAAAAAGTTGAAACGTTTTATCTCTCAGCCCTCCCGCCTGGCGAAGCGCTCTGTCGGCCGGTTGCCATGGCAACGCGTGTGCGTTGGAGCAAAGACGTGGCAGAGAATAAGAGGAGGTTCGGGTGGATATTTTTTGTTTTTGTCTATGTTTGTTTGTCTTGTGGAATGACTATTTTGTCTGTTTGTCTTGTGGAATGACTACCAATCACTTCCTGTTTGTTCATCGCCGTCTTAATAACCCTCTTATGACCATAATCATATCGGGGCCGCCTGATATTTTTTTTTATCTTATGGCTGTAAAATTGTAATAAAAAGTGCAAAGTGTGTGTAACTCTTCTTTTTTCAGAACAACCTCAGCTTTCAGTGTGTGGTTTGTATTTAGAATTTATTTCTATTAAAGCCTTTAAAAAATCGTTTAGCCCAAACTATTGTTGCCAAAGTGTATCACTGTCATTTTTGACTCACAATAAAAAATTACAGTGTTACTAATCCAACATTTTCCACTTATTTGCTAGTAAACAACTTAGACGAAAGTTTTGTTTTAAAATGTTTTTGTTTCCAAGTGCTTCCTATCGTATGACATCATCTGCTTCCTGCTCCTTCCCGCTGAAGACATTGTGACTGCAAATCATCCTGGAAACAGGTAATTTTTAGACATTTCTGATTAACTGCCCCAAAATTTATTTGTAATAATTTACTCATTCAAGTCTCTACCCTCCATCCAAAAGTTATACCAAAGATAATTTTTTTCTTAATAAGCTTATTTCTGTGAGTGCCAACAATAGTTGCCAGTGGGAACAAAGCATGTCGCTAACTAAAGGAAAACTCTCTGCAGGATCGCTCCTAATTTACTTATTTAAAATATTAGAATGATGTACAATGGCTCATTTTAGTCCTCTCAGAATACTTTTCCAAGCTAAATTACTTCACAGGTATTCAAGGCCTGTGTGTATAGAATTTTTATACGTTACCATACATCATTTTCTTGCTAGCAAACATTAGCTTGTATCTCACAGTCTAATGATAACTAGCTAGTAGAAAAGCTAATGAATAATAATAATAATACATTTTATTTAAAAGCGCCTTTCAGAACACCCAAGGTCACTTGACAGAAAACACGTAATAAAATACAATAAAGCAATAATAAAAACCCAAGCAAGAAAAAAAAAACAGAGAGAAACAGTTCAATAAAATCAGAGGTTGTAGGCAGATTTAAACATATGTGTTTTGAGTTTTGTTTTGAAAAGGGTAAAACTGTCGATGTTCCTGATGTCTGGGGGGAGTGAGTTCCAGAGATGGGGAGCAGAGCGGCTGAAAGCTCTGCTCCCCATGGTAGTGAGACGGGCAGAAGGAACAGCAAGATGGATGGAAGACGAAGATCTTAGAGAACGGGATGGGGTGTGAATACTTATAAGGTCTGAGATATATGGAGGAGAGAGGTTGTGGATTGCTTTGAAGGTATGGAGGAGAATTTTGAAGATGGACCTGAAATTAACTGGGAGCCAGTGAAGCTGCTGGAGAACCGGGGTGATGTGGTGAAAGGAAGGGGTTCTGGTGATAATACGGGCTGCTGAATTCTGGGCCAGTTGCAGTTTATGAAGGAGTTTGTTGGGGAGACCATAAAGAAGTGAATTGCAATAGTCGATACGGGAGGTGACGAGGCTGTGGACGAGAATGGCGGCAGTGTGAGGGGTCAGTGAGGGGCGGAGACGGTTAATGAAGATGTTGATGTGCAGCGTACACTTTTCTTTGCACACAAGAGCTTACATAACCAGTACACACACCTATGCCCCCCCCCCCCCCAGTGGTGAAATCCATCATCACAAACTCAATTGTGATATTGCTTTTACAGAACGTTCTACATATGGAACATGACAATGTACAAGGGATGATATTGAAGATTGAGTAATAGCACAATATGCATGTTTTGACATTGATTTAGGTCCTGGAAAAATGGGCAGATGGATCTCCTCTCATTCCAGAGGCTGGTAGCCCAGACCCTCCTCCCCCAGACCCTCCTCCAGTCGAAGGACCCCGAGCCGATCTTGCACCCGAGCAGATCTTGTACCGACACCGGATTCGAAATAAAAGGGGCAGCCAAACACTGCTGATTCCCCTGTCACATTGTGCTGTTGAAACCCTATGTCCTGTTAGTTTCCTTTCTCTTTTGGACCAGAGAGTATATTAAAAGGACAGTTTTAGACAACAATAAGAATATATTTCCATCATAACCATTTATTTTGTTGGTTTAAAGTTTTACTTGAATCATCCACTTGATGGCGCAATAGAGCAAATGAATCATCACAGTGCCTCAAGAGTCAACCAGTTGGATGGAAAGCTTCAGCTCATGAGGCTTCATCTCACCATCACTACCTATTTGGAGGCGTGAATTTGAGCTGGCCTATTAGCCAGCAGTGGGTGTGTTGGCCCTGGTCAGCCTGAAGCAGACCACCTTGGGAAGAAGGCAGAAAAACAGTCCGATTGCTACCAGAAGAAAAGCAGGCTATGCTAATGTGGACTCTCTATGCTGTCCAGACCACGCGGAGCCGATGCTAGTGAGAAAGGCCTGTTAGAAAAACAATGAGCGTATGCACCTGGTACTGCAGTCTGCTTCCAGCATGTTTTAGATCATAAACACAGCTGATTTGTTTGAATGTGTTTGAGTGATGAATCACGCCTGTAGACGCTAAGGAAGGCTGAAGAGACATTTTAGCTTTTAGATTAAGGTGCTGAACTGACAAACGCACAGCGAGGATACGTTTCAATTTTTGTTGAACCACAGAGATTTAATAGCAAACACTAGGAGGTGCTAAAAGCAAGCAAAACTGCCAAGTGTGCCTTTAAAGGGAGTTTTCCTCTCCACTATTGCTACATGCTTGCTTAGTATGGGGATTGCTGTAAAGTCTGACACAAGTCTGTGACTCCATGCAGTCTGCTGGGTTTCCACAAACAGAAACCATGACTGGCATAATGATTTAATTTGGAATGTTTACTTTGTAAATTGCCTTGAGGTTGTGATTTGGCACTATGCAAACTGGTTTTGTGTGAACATCCATAGAGGACTACAACTGCTCGTCTCACCAAATTTACATCATCGAACAAGACGAGGAGAAAAAGTAAAAAATTGGCTATGCTCTTGCCATGATTTTATGTTCTTTCACTGGGAAAACATTTTTAAGACTGCTGCTTTTTTCTTTTCTTTGGTTAGCACTAAAATGTGTTTCCAGTGTTTACCTGTCTGCGTTTGACCCCCCTGTACTGCAGGTTAATCATGAAGTATTGACCCTTTGTATTAACTCCAGTGAAGCTAGTCAAAACAAGACAGTTTGTAGCCTTTTATGGCTTTTATTTAGTTGATTTGATAGTAAAATGGTTTTAGCTTGCTGCGTGGTTGGCTGCACTAACAGACAAGGATGTAAACTCAACTAGTTTTGTTTTTTTAATAACTTTGATGGAGACTGAGGACGGAGATGAACTGCAGCGATCAATCAAGCGGACTAGCAGGCCTCAGATTAGCAGCGAACATGTTTTTACCGGGTAAGATTACCGTTCATTTATTTCACGAGGAAGACAGGGACAGGGATAAATGTGATGTGTTTATACAAGTTATTGATAATCCTGATGGATGGGTATTCCACCACGGAGGCCGCGCGTCGTCCACTGTAGTGTAAAACGAGACAATTATTAACAATATTAAAGCTCGGATGTATGATTACATGTGTTAAAATTACGCTATTTATTTACATGAGCGAATTTAGGCAAAGTCAACAACGTGTTTACATCGGTGAACAGCTGCAGAGAGAACGTAAGCTAACGTTGGTAAGCTAGTTAACATACCGCTCTCTATGAGCCCCCGCTAGATGCGCTACTTCTTCTGATAACTGAACTGGGAATGAACTAGTTGAAGGAATGCTGGAGGAGTTTTGTTTTTTGTTTTGATCGCAAAAACAATTTCAGGCTCTACTTTTCCCTTTGTTTAGTAATCGTGTCGCTCACTATTTACATGCTTTTGCCATCCAGCATGGTGGACCCACGTGATTAGGTGACTTCGGTGCAAAGGGGCATTTAAAAAACAAACAAAATTGTCCTAATAAATGTTTATTCGTTGCATTGCACATATTGTGTTGTAAAGGATGGGTAGTTTACATCTTACTTATGAACCATAAAATGTGAGATTCCATAGAAATATGAAATATCAATCTGATGGATGTTTGAACATTTTAACCAAATCAGAACTTTTTATTGCAGGGATTAGGCAACACTTCGTATTAACTCCAAGAAAGAGAGTCAGGTTTATAATAGTTAATAAATTTATTTCTACACAATTTAAAAGACTAACTTTAACACTCTGTGTACTGATGGAACTAAAGTGGAGTGAGACGTGCAATGATGGTGTGTGTGTGTGGAATGTTGCTATCAGAACCAGCGGATCCGGAGAAGCATTTAGTTCTGAGTGGGAGTGAATGTTTCGCTCTAAAATTTAGTTGGAGATTTATAACACACGAGATGCCATCTGTCGGTCTACGTACCCCAGGGGAAGCCTCTGATTAGATCTAGAATGTCGAGGTCCTCTTGGACCCTCCTTGGAACCGAAGCCAGTAGAAAAGCAGCGGTGCCGACCAAACTAGTCTTGGACACGACAGGTTCATTGGTGTCAGCGAGACCCTGAAGGGGTCATGAGGTTCAGCTTTTATTCTGAAGGAACCGTTGTGGTCAGGTGTAACGATTTTATCCAGCTGGTCGAACTTCTTTGGCTGCAGAGGAAGTCCGGATGGCCTGTCCGAGACTTCTCTAGAACGCTTTGAACTAAAGAAAAGGTGGCGCGGGATAGTTTTTATAATTGTCATATTTTGGTTTACTGGCGAATCAGAATTTGACATGCAAAAGAGGGTTTAAACAAACACCACAGAAAACCACGCCTCGCGTCCGAAACGAAGGTTCTGATTGGATCAGACAAAAGGAAATGTGTCATGTGACTTTAGCATGACTCTGTGTCATTAGTGTCTAGTGCAAATGTCCAGGATTATTACTTGTAAAATACTACTGATCACAGGATTATAATATCAAGTAATTACATTGTCATTTCACAGATTGATTGAACATTGGGCTCACATTATTATTGGTAATAACAAAGTTATTATGTTATTACCGATTATGTGTTTATCAAGAGAGTTCTTCGTCTTCGTCTTGAGCTGTAAAAGGTGAAGCAGTTCAGATGAGCAGAGGGCATGAAAGACCTTGGCCAATATCTCATGTAGATTAGGCATGTATCAGAGACTTAATGTCTCCACTCGAGCAGACGCAGCAGATCATGACCTTTAGGTCAAAAACAGGACATTCATGACGCTACAGTGTTTATTCTCAAAACTTATAAACTGTGTACACCCCATGTTTACAGAAAATCTGACTTAAAACTGGTTTTTGTTTATTGTATCAGTAACTGGGAACACGAGCTCTTTAGAAAAATGTTTACCGGGTTAATAAATCAGAAATATTTTTTCATAAGTGATATTTGTAATGTGGTGTTTGGCATGATTTTAATGAAAACGTACCTTCCTAATAAAAGCCATGAGCGTTGTATTTAGCATCAGCATATGATACACAATCATCTCTGATCAACAAGACTAATGCATCAGTAGATTTAGGGTCTATTCATAAAATAACTTAAAGTTAAAACATTTTCCTGATCCCTGGAGCTATCACCTAATGATTTATTCCCAAACAGGCTGAATAACTGAGCACTTTTACTGCAATCCATGAGGAAAAGAGAAGATTTTTAGGTATTTACAAAGTAGATAAAACTTTACATTTGGCAGGTTTTTTTTTTTTTGGGTTTTTTTTTTTTTTTTTTTGCTGCAGTTAAAAACCTGTATTTACTCCTCATCTCTTTCCTCCTCCAAGGTGTTGCCGAACAGAGCCAGGAGGTTCTGACCCAGCGGGTTGTACAGAATGGCTTCAATCTCTCCTCCACCATTGCTGTTTTTCTGGAAGTGGATTTCCAACAGATCCTGTAAGGTTTCTTGCTCCATGATGTCAGGTATTCCAGTCAGCAGCACCGTCCGGGGACACATGGACATCTTGGTCTAAACCAGAAGACACCCAAAACAGAAAGTGAGACCTTCTGGTAAAATGTGTGAATGTGATTTTCTCCTAAAAAAGAAGCTCACCTGTAAGTTTGTTATCTTTCCGTTGAGAAAAGGAGTGACTCTCACTTTGTGCTTGGTTTGGTTTAGCTTCACTTCATGGAACTCTGTTTCTACCAAATGTTTGGCAACTGGTGGGAGAAACAATTATACGAACCACGTCATATAAAAAGAAACAAAAGGCACCAAGTAGTGTGAATTTGAACTCAGTGTAACTAGGTGTGATATCTCACCATTTTCCTTTATGAAGACGATGACTACCGTCCCAGAGTCAGGCAGGTAGTCACAGACGTCCACTTCCCCGCCCCCATTTTTAGTCTTGGAGAAGTGGATCTCCAGTTTGTTCAGCAGAATCTCCGTGTTCATCTTAGGCAGGTTAGAGAGTAAAATGCGTCGAGGACAAACCTCAGAGTCGATCTGTGGGATGGAAAAGTTAAAGGTGAGCTGCAAACATGTCAGCGCTCAGGAACTATTTGATGGTTTAGTGTCAAGCAGGGAGGCATTGGGTCCCATTTTTAAAGTCTGGTATGACCCAACTGGATTTGAACCAACAATCCCAGTCTCCGGGCGGACTCTGAAACCACTTCCACTCATATTACAGATCAGTACAGAAAACTTAATGGCTGCACTTTATTGCTGGATTAGAGTCAAAAGAGATGTTTTACCTCCACCAGACTGGGAAGCATCAGGTGAACTGGATGGGCTTGCACGATGATCCTGCACTCTACCCCCAGCTCCACCTTATGCCTCTTCATCTTCAGAATACTGCTCGCCACTAATGAGATGACATGGGCATTAATAACGATATATATATATATATATATATATATATATATATATATATATATACTCAAAATAGCATTTCTTCATATATTTTCTAATATAAACTATTTTAAAATCAATAGTAACTTCAATTTAAACGCTACATGCACAAAAAATCTCCAGTTTTAGAGAAGTTATAGAGTTAATTTCAAACCCACAAAATAAATAAACACAAAAAAGTTCTAAATTTGAAAGTAAAAGGGGGAGAAGCTGGGAAAAGTAAGTGACTGAAGACAAACTCACCGTCCTCCTCCTCAAATGTAATCAGTGCTGTTCCTCCGTCCATCGGGTAAGTTATGTGGGACTTCATATCAAACTCCTGCCTGTCCTCTGCATTTTTTGTCAACCCTTTGAAGACAAATTTCTTCTCTGGCATGGAACAGAACACCTGAAATCCACAGGTGTGTGTTTACAACACATCAGGCAGCAAACAGGGGTGTAAAACGACAGTTGTGACCTACGTCGGCTTGTTCTTTCAGTTCCACGTTTTGGTCATCTTCTTCTTTGATTTCTGCCTGGATCTTCTTGATTTCTTCCATCAAGTTGTTCTCCTCCTCCTTCAGTGAATCCAGAGTTGCCTAGGATTTCAGAACCAAGCAGCAATCAAACTTTACTTATAACAGCAATTTACTCTAAAGCAGAAGGCTTTAGAAGTGAGCCTTCACACCAGGGTAGTGCTGGGAGACTTGCTTCAATTTGGCGAACACACGAAATGTCACATCCATGTTTGGGTTGGTTCACTTCTGAAAGCAGACCAAATGTCTAATAGGCTGTTCATTCAAGGAGGGTATCGCTGCAGACCCGGAGACCGCAGATTCAGGCCGACTGCAGATTCAGGCCGACAGCAGATTCAGGCCGACTGCAGATTCAGGCCGACTGCAGATTCAGGCCGACTGCAGATTCAGGCCTGTATACTGTTTTCAAGACAGCGCCGCCCACTGTTTGCTAGCATTCCAAGATGGAGTTTGATCGGAGAGTAAGTATAGAATGTGGAGAACAGTATTTGTTTAATGAAACCAGCATATGCTTACCAACTAAATTTCTAAACAAATTTTAATCCTCGAGTTACATTTGACGAGGAAAAGAACGTTTTCTTGTGATAAGTTGAAAAGGAATTGACGCTGTTTAATCACCATGTGTAGGCTAAGCTAGGAGCTAATTATGCTTACAGTAAAGAAATTGTCTGAATCGCACATTTAGTTATATTATGCTGTCCATATTTTTACTAATTAAATTAACTGTGTTATTGCATTAATCGTGCATGACTTCATAAAAACTTTATAGACCATTTTCATAAAAGTATGAGTAGTCGCACATATTTTGATGAGTGTACAATGTAAAAAAAAGTGTTTGATTTCAGTTTTGTGCTTAAAGGCTATCTTTCATGTTCTTTAAAATGGCAAAAAAGCATAATTTAATGTAAAAAAGCTACTTTGGTTATACTCCCAGGTTTCCATACAACTAGCAGGTGTTTAAAAATACTAAATAAAGGGATGAGAGCTAGCACCCCCCCCCCCCCCCCCCCAAAAAAAACGCGCGGTTTTAGAGTCACGTGACACGTGACGTGCCCAGAGGTAAACGCAGAGGCGAACGAGAGGACAATGACAAATCGGTCATTTTTAGTTGCTGAGGTAAAACCAAGTACCGGTAAACTAGTTCAAATATGGTTAATGTTTGCGTATGTGGGGATTGTACAAACTCCAGTTTGTCTGGACATCGTGTTTTCTGATTCCCAAAGCAGAAAAACCCAGCTTTCCGTGCTTGGGTGAGATTTGTTGGGGTAAAAAGGCAGGATTTTACCAGCAATAGAGTCTCGAACAACTCCGTGATTTGTGGTGTGCATTTCCACGAGGAGGATTTTATCGAGGGAGACTTGATTGAACACAGGATGGGGTTCAGAAAAATGGACAAAATCAGACTGAAATCCACTGCAGTACCATCGATACATGGAAAAGGCAACAAGGGAGAAGGACCGGGAGCAGCCGCGCCCGGAACATCAACAACAATGGCGGCTCCTTCCAGCTGCAGAAGAGACTCAGGAGCTACACGCAGGTCAGCAACTCACAAGCTGGAAGTAGCCAGAGTAAGTGTTGTTTAATTTCTAAAAATTTTTAATGACAAAAACTGTGACAGCTACCCTGCTGTCACACCTCATGTAAATGGCTGTCTGGTAATGTTTCTTTTATTTTGAATATGTGAGAGTTTGTTTCTATGGATTGACTGTTTGGGTGACTGTATGAAGTGCACACATTCAGTTACCTATCAGTTTTAGTCTGTAGGGGTTTGTATGATTAATGTTTTCTTTGAGTTGCCAGTGGCCTTGGAGTTGGAGCAGCTGTAGCCGATCACTTGGCCTAATCAGCACCATTGGGTCATACCAACTCTCAAGGGAGAAGATTCCTGTGTTTGTGTATTTAGTTATTCTCTTTTGTAAACAGTAGTTGGGTTTTGATAGTAATATGTATTCATTTTAAGTAACTCAAACATAATGGACTGATTAGTATGAATTTGTTAGGGGTAGTTTATTTATCTTCTTTGTTTATTGACGTATTGGCCCTAGTGTGTTGGCAGTGGTCTGATCAGCCACTATTTAAGTTGATCCTGTTGTATTTGTAGAGAGGTTTTTTTTGTACATGTCTGTAGTCAGGTTCTGAGTTTGGGTTCCTTTGTTACTACGTCCATTGTTATGTAATGCCAAGTGCTGGTTGGAACCCTCTTTTGAGAAAAAAAAAGTAATAAATTAAGACGTCAAGAAAATCATCCGTGCTCTCCTGGCTGGTTTATGCAAGTCCCTGACAAAAACATTCAATGATAGAAATGTGTTTATACAAATAATGTCTATATTTAAACGTGTTAGGCTATAATTGCGCAGCTAAGTGAGAGATAAACTGACTTCATCTTTATCTTCATCGTTACGTAACAAATAAAGTTCCTCTATAATCACGGTGAGCAGAAACATATCTGACACGGTGATTCTGGTTAAAATAATCGTTTGAGCACCACGGACAACCCTTGCTTGCCTCCGGTTTCAATCAGCTGCTTCAACAGTTCATAACGTGATTTTGTATAGCTGTGCTCACTTGAGGGACTCGCGCTAATGTTTGTGTACATTTTTGTTTTTTAGAAAACACTCAAATATCTCTCCTACTTTAGTGTAGTTTCCAGGTGTTATTTTGAGATTCATGCCGGGCTATTTATCAGGGCTTACATCCCCAGGGCTGCCAACTTTTGAACATTTCAAAGAGTGAGACAGGGTCACGGGGTTGGGAGCAGACAATTTGCCGACCGTTTAGAGCGGGGGGACATTAATATTGACTTTATTTATTTATTTCTACTCTGTATGGAAGAGGATTAGGGCCACTGACAATAAAAAAAAGGAAAAGAAAGAGAATTCTTACTTTTTTCTCAGAATTCTGACTTATAACCTCGGAATTCCGGGGAAAAAGTCCGAGTTCTCTTTCTTTTCTTCTTTTTTTCTTTTCAGTGGCCCTAATCCTCTTCCGTTCCTCTGACTTTACAGAGGGAACTGACCTTCGTTTAATACAAATTTTCTTTTCGTGAGGAAAATTTTACATTCAACTCTCCTGAACTTCTTCACTTTATCGCCTGTCTGTATGTCTGCAGTAAAGAGTTACAGGAACTTTTAATTATAATCAGTGTTGGGCAAGTTACTTCAAAACTGTAATGCATTATTTATTACTTGTTACTGTCATTTTAAAGTAATTCATTACATTACGAACACTACTTTTGCATTACTCTAAGTTACTTTCACCAGAACAACTTCAATATGAATCTGGTCATGTGACGCTCAGTGAGCTCATGACATATATGTGGAAGGTGATGTGGTGTCTGAGCTAGGATTGCTGTTAAAACAGTCAGATATAATAACAGTGCTTTAAAATGATTGTTTATTAAATAAAAGCAACAACAATCTGTACTCTCAGCACGCTGCCATCTTATAGGGCCATCTGAGCAGGGAGTGAGGTGGTGGGGGCTCCAAGCCTATATTTGCCTTGGTCCCCAAATGCCTTGATACGGCCCTGGATGTGGGACTGACTTCTGGGGTGATCTGATTCTATCACATGCATAAATATTAAATGCTTATATGTTATTGCTTTTCACTGGTAAAAATGTGTATTGGGATAAATCTAGCTACTTTTTTTATTTTCACTTTGTTTTGTTTGCTTGATCTTATTTGAATAATTTCTGGCCCTTTCTCTCTCTAACTTTCCTGCATGCTGCATGTTTTCTCCGTCTTCCAGAAAAACGGTTTCCTAGATTTTCTACTTTCTAACTAATCTGCCAAAGGGATCTACCGAACGCAAAAAATATATATAAAAAAAAGAAGCAGCTTAATATGCGCTGCGCTCCAGCAGCTATATGAGTTGAAATCACCGGGGCACAGATTATGAACTCAGCTAAAAAGTACACAAAGTACCAGAGAATATGGGCTGATATAAAAGATCGCAAACTAATAACTTTGTTTTGGTGGAGCGATTTTGTGAATATAACAGCGGCCGCACGCAGGATGCAGCTGGGGTATTTGAGCCATTACCGCTGCGTCCTCTCTGCTCATAGAACGCCCGCAAAGCTGAGTCCATAAATTATATCATATATGTGGATACTAGATCTTTTTTCAGGCTTCCCGCAATTTTTTAGGAAACCCACATCTTGATTCTGGGTTTAAAAAAGCATTGTAATTACCGCATTACTGACAATTGTACCGAGTAAATATTACCATTTTCTTTCCCTGTAATGCCTTACATTACAGCAAAAAGCAATGCATTGCAGTAATTAATTACTTTTGTACCGCATTACTCCCAACACTGATTATAATGAATGTAATTGATTTAAATTCTATCTAGGGGTGGGCAATATCATGTCATTCATAATATTACCAGTTATTATTTCCTGCCAAGAAAAACAATCCATCATGTTAAGCTAACTTCATGATGTAATTGCACTAAACAGAGGATTATGTTCATGTGGGTCATCAGCATGAAGTTATTGAAGTTATCAAAGCAAACATGGCTGGAATCAGTTTTACTGTAATCTGTGTCTCTAAGTGTGTGTGCTGCTGTAATGAGTGAATGGCCCCACTGTGGGGCTAATAAAATGTACTCTATTCTACTCTATTAATTCATATCAGCCAGTAGGAAAAAAAATGTTTAAGGAATTGTGGCCTTTCCAGGCTTCCGTACCAGTAGTTTTCATCTCACAAACAGGAAAACCACACTGGTGAAGCGGTGAATTAAAACATTAGGAATCCACGTCACGAACTAATGTAGGAGAGGGAACATGTGAGTGAGCCACCACGGTAGGAAGCCCAGCTTGCTGTGAGCAGAAAAAAGCACATCTGCTTGGATTATACAGATGGGATTATGTGTGAAATTATTACTTACGTGTTGTTGGTGTGCATGTTGTTCAGTAGCTAATGCCATCATTAATATCATCTGGTTTTTACATAAGCCCTACACATTGTGTGCGTGATGCGCATTTGGGGAGAGCAGGCGCTGGTTTAGCGTGAGATATTGGAGGTGTGGCATGAGAGCGTGTGAAGAGGGTCAAATGTGTGTCT